ACTAAGCCCCATGATCCTCCAAGTAGTCTCTCAGGAATCCTAAGGGATTTTTGAGGCAACCAGTGGTCTTTAGAGTCAACGGTATATGGGATTCCCAAAACAGGGGACCCTGAGATGGTAGCCTAAATAGTAGGATCCTTACTATAAGGACCCCAGAATAAGGTATCCTAATTTGTCGGAAACTCCCATATTCATAGGCTACTATTTGCTTAAGAACCCCCCAAAAAATGAAAAATATATTCCTTATGGGGGTAGTATAGGGATTACTATTATTATTATTATTATTATTTTGGGGCTTCTTAAGCAAATTGTAGTAGGTGAGAGTTCAGAAATCAGGGTGACGCTTAGAGGTTTGCTTTTCCACACAACCTTTTGGTTTTAGAGCCTGGGGTTTGGGCGTTCCTTAAAGGAATGGGCTTAGTAACTAGGGTTGCTATTCGGGGAGCTTTATTTACGAGTACGTAAAACCTCCATGAAGGGTAGTCATAACCTTTCTTCTACTAAGTCCCATGATCCTCCGAGTAGGATGCTGTGTCAAAAACCATATCCGAAGTCCGAACCCCGGGCCCAAAACCCGAATCTTCGAACCCGGGTCATCTCCCGAACATAGGGGCCTTGATGAGTGGAACGGGGTTCTTTGGGGTCCTCAGTGTCATTATATTGTGAATACCCTCAAAACCCTACTCTAGGGTCCTTTTTGGGGTCCTTATTATATTACGGCACCTCATATTTAAGGGACCCCAAAAGGGACCCTAATTTTGACAACTACCTATATGTAGCGGGGCTTCGGCTGGAGGTTCGTCTTCCTTCCCTACTTGCAGGATCATGGGACTTCGTAAGTAAGGTCATAGGTAGTACTATTAACTGCGGGTTACAAGTAGTTGTAAGTATAGGTATAGTTACCCCAATAGGGGCTCTTGCTACTGCCTCCCATGATCTCTGAAATTAACCAGAGACTTGCTCCAGTTTTGAGCTTCCTCCGAAACTCACAGCACTATCCACAAAGCCGGAACCCGAAATCCCAATCCTAGACCCTAAACCCTCAACTTCAATTCCCCAAATCCCTTAACCCTAAACCGCAACTCCCTAAACCATCCTGATCCAAACCCGCTCTGAGGCAAAAAGGGCGCCGCACAGCGAAAGTCGAGAACCGGCATCGAAGATGAATCGCGGATGATGCCAGAAACTCAGTTTACGGGTTGTTAAGCGCTCAAACCTAAAGTTAAGCTTTGGGGCATGGGGCTTTGGCAAAACAATCCCTACCCTCTGCCTGAAACGGGCATGCCCTGAAATGGTGTCACCACCCCAAATCCTGAACCCCGAAACAGGCCCAAGACCCTAAAGCCTTAAAGCCCTAAAGTGGGAAACATGCAACTCCTAACCGTGAAAACCTTTCGCCTGCTGCCAAGCCCTAAACCCACGCATCCTTGGGGCTTCAAGCCCTACACTCGCCACCCACAAGCCCTGAAGCCAAAAGCTTATCATCCTAAAGACCCTTCAGAGCCATAAAGCTCCGACTGCTCGGGGAGGCGATGGCGCGTATTGAACAAGGAGGGCTTTCTTCAGGCGGGTCTCATATACTTATTATGTGTTATGTACTGTAATCTAATGCATGGATGCATGCATGTGTGTCTGTGTGTGTATGTATGTATATATATACATGTATATATATATATATATATATACATATGTATATACACACACATACATATCTTTACAGACACACACACACACTCGCAGTTTATAACTGTGTGTACACACACACACTTTTTCATTATGTTTGTTTGGTTTCGGGGGTTTGGGGCTTCAGGGTTTCGTGGGAGGGGTTGGGAAGGGGTGGGGTTGGGGTGTTGGTACATGCTTCTGGCATTGGGGGTGAAAGGTTCAGGACACAAGGCTCAGCACAAATCCGAGCAACCTTCAGTGCCCGAAGTTCGAAAGGTTTCAACCACAAGTTCCGCACAACATCCCCAGCCCTTCGCCCTCGACGCCAAAACCCACAACCCCGTACGGCCCATACATAATTTGAAAACCGCATACGCGAAATGCTAGGCGATTGCGCTAAATCCTATTTCCTGAAGTCCGATGCCAAAATTTTAAAATCTGAACCGTGGAACACGGAATCGTCGACGCTAAGCGCATAATAACACTTTTTCCAAGCCCATTCCAAAAACCTTGATACAACGCCAAAGTCCCGGAAGCACTTCACTCAATCCCGGAACCCTCAACCCCGGAACCCTAAACCCCTAAACCTAAAACCCCTAAACCCCGAAACCCTAAACCCCGGAACCATCCCTCGCTCCAACGTGAACAGATGAACAGGAAAGCCAAGAACCAAAAGAACCACAGTGCATCCAGTCACAACACCTATACCCCAAACCCTAAACCCGAAGCCCAAAACCTTAAGCCCAAAACCGAAACCCAAAACCATAAGCCCTAAACCCTAAACCCTGTAGGCACGCATAAACCCAACAAAAACCTTCTAAAATACCACAAATACCTACAATTAAGGGCCATAAGGCCTCTATTAAAGGGCCTTGGGGCTGGAGCCTTCAAGGGAAACTTTGAGGGTTCCTTTTTAAAGGGTTCCTTTAAGAGTTCCTTTTCTAGGGCTCCTTTAAGTGCTCCTTTAAGGGCTCCTTTCAGGGATCCTTTAAGGGATCCTTTAAAGGGAGCCTTTAAAGGGATGCTTTAAAGGGATCCTTTAAGGGATCCTTTAAAGGGTTCCTTTAAGCGCCCGAAAGGCGCTGTTCGTCCTCGGGGACGAGAGAAAACGCCGGCGCAAAGGTGACCAGCCAGGATGCCCAAGCAGAGACACTTCTAGGGTCTTTGGGTTGAGGGTGTTTAGGAGCTAGGGTTTAGGACTTAGGGTTTGGGATTTAGGTTTTATTTTCGGGTTTAGGGTGTTTAGGGTTTAGGGCCGTACCTGCACCCTCTGGGGCGTTCTTAATTCCGCCCGCATGTTTTCCAAGGGTTAGTTCGGCCTGCGCGGGTATAGAAACGCCTGCAAAGGAAAGATTTGCCTTCAGGATTTCGGGGTTTTAACAGAAATGAAGGATGTCAAACAATGTTGGTTATTTCCCTTGTTTTGACCAGGGAGTTCTAACCTGGGGCCCTGTGATCAAGCAAGATGAGATTATCCGATGCTAGCTGTCGACACCATACAATTGAAGATGTTTATACCGAAGCACCTTAGATGATCGTCTGTAGTACCTTCAGCCGGAAGAACTATATAAGACTCCTGTATCCCTTGATTGAGAACACCAGCAATCCCCCACAAACCCTGCATACATATAAACACACCCCACTGAAGCCACAGCAATGGAGCACCTCGTCGCGAACATCATGAGGCAATCCAGGACCCGCTGGTTTATGAAATTATAAGGCTTCGATCAGAGTTTGCAGGGTTTTGTGGTTGCCGGTTTCTGCAGGAAATTTCGGATGCACATATATATAGGCTTGAGTAGATTTCATTGGGCCACAGCTTCATGCAAGGGTCTATCTGAGGGGGCGGCTGGACTAGCTAGGGTTCTAGTGGGCGAGGGAGACATGAAAGAAGATGATAACACCTTAACTCCACACTGTTTTTCGGCCAGCCAGGGCTGCTTCTGCGAGTTGGACTGTTGCATCCGTAGCATCTGTCGATCAGCGCCTTCGTCCAGCTATGCGCTTGAAACGGCGACCAGCTTTCTTAACCTTAGCACCCTGTCCATCACCAGTCTTTCTCCAGTTGCGCAGTATGAAGGAAAATTTCAGAAGATAGTGATGTAGGAGGTGTCGTTCGAACAAATCCCGCTTAAAGCCAATACGTCGAGATTGCCGAGAGATGCGGCCTATAAAGTCTTCGCTTTGGCTGCAGTCCCATGCAGCTGGGTTGATGGTTGCCTGCAGGTTTTGCTCGAGTGAGAGTTCAAACTCATGCTTAAAATGGCACATGGCATGAAACTTTGGGGTGAGGCCGAACAACGGCAACTGACGCATCTGGCAATATAGCGCAAGCTGAGAGTAGCCTTTCAGGAAATCGTAAAGGCTCTGGCGCAAAAATCGACAGCAGCTTTGCACCAACCAAAGCGAATGGCCATGGATTCCTTGAGAGAACCGCAACCCTCCAGCCACACACTTCTCCAAAAAAATACAAGCACGGCAAGTGGTGAAATCATGGCCCGTGACCACACCAGAACCACGGCTGCGAAGTTGGACCAAAAGTACCCGCAACCATTTGAAAAGCACGATCGTGTCTGATCCCTTGCATCCAAGCCAAGGGAACGCCCCCTTTGCGAAATGCATTTTTTTCTTGCTGAAGCTTCTGATGCCCCCAACATGCAAAGACGCAGCTTCCATAAAAAGCTGAAACTGTCTCCATGCTCGTATGAGCCTGTTCTCAACAGACTTTGACTCATGCAGCAGGTCGAAGGCTCCCAAGTTGCACAGAAGCAGGATCGCTGAAGCCAGAAAGTTCCGTGCCACACCTGATCGTATGGATCGAACCCCGTCAGCAAAATTGCACACAGACCCTTTAAAAAATGTATATATGTATATGTATGTATATTTATAGAGCTATATATATGTTTCTCTATATATATATAGAAACACAAACACAACGTAGTGCCCCGAGCAGCCTGAACAACCAATTTAAACATAAATTAAAAGTCGTTCCCAGCGCTTCTCAGACACATTTAATCATGTGTACACATTTAAATACATATATGTGTGTCGATGTTTGTAGTTGTGTACGTTCGGTATGTGCGTACCAATATATATATATATATATATATATATATATATCGAACTAGGTGTGTTAATGCAGCTCTATACACACATATATATATATATATATATATACACCTCGTCCCACAAAAAGCGATCCTCTACGAGATAAAGTGAATTAATGTACACATCTCCCACACATCTTTGTCTATATATATATATATATATATATATATATATATATATACATACACATGTTCGCGAGTATACACCGTACATGAATCGATGAAAAATTATGCTGGAAAAGCCAAGAATCCCAGCCTGAAGACGTGAAATGGGTCCCTGCGAAAGAATTGAGGGGCCCGCGATGGAAAGGAGTGCCAATTGTCGAAGGGCATTTGTGCAAAACTCGGAAGCCGTTCCCATGGAGCGGACTTCCCAATGGTCTTAGTCCACGCAGCATTTCTATTGGCGTCCTCAAAAGGGATTTCTGGAAACCCAGCCTCACATTCAATGCAGACAGCTATGTCTTTTGCCCGTCCGACGTGCTCGTAACTTCTGTTCAACCCAGCGTCGCGCAAGCAGGCACACTGGAACTCGAAGTCAGCTTTCATTCCCAGAATTCCAAAGTAAAACCGCCGGCCATTCACCAGAAGCCCATTCTCAAATAGTTCTCGTAGCTGGTTTGACAAAAGTTTGAAAATGTCCGATAGAAGCTCCTCGGGCCACTGCTTTTTAGGATAGGCAACAACAAGGAAGCGGGTCAAGTAAGAGTGGAACTTCCCGTTGCATTGTTGACCGATCTGAAGCACCGGTTCTGCACAGGTGCAGGGTTTGGGTTCTACACGTCCGATGCCCAGGGTAGGCTCCAAGCTGATGACCTCCAAAGGCTGCCTCGGTTGTAGTTTTCTATATTAAGGTGAATATACAACTGATCGATTTCGATCGAAGCATTATATAACAACCAGAGGTATACCTCTACAAAGGACCCCCTTATAGGAGGAAGTGACAACTTTCCGAAAGTGCCACCGAGTCGCTTTTTTTGTGTCCTACCTCCATCTCCATGCAGGCTGATCGGTATTGTCCAGCGCAGGCGTTCAGCAGGTGCCCCAAACACAGCGTGCGAGGGATGCATGTCACGATATCGGCCCCAAAAAAGCGCTAGGCCACGGTTCGCAGCTGGATCGGACGCAGCATACCCTCCCAAAACCAGATCAGCATTGTAGCTCAACAGATAGGAAAGCATGTCTTTCGGGGCCAGGTAGGGCACAGTGTAGTTCTCACTATCAACAATCAAGGTGTGATATGAAATTGGGATACGAGGTCGAAGGCCAAACTTGACAACGATCTTCTCCACGTGTCTAGCAGAATTCTGCTCAGACGTTCCTAAAACACCACCAAGCTCTTCTCGGGTGGCTTCCACACCCTTTTGCAGGACCATGGCCCTCTGGTGAGCTGTCACAGAGGTTGCTGGTGCCTTGGCTTTCACCAGATCCGACTATGTCTACACGCGGAGAACATATACATATACACGTCCAGTAACACGAAGATATGGAAGTATATACATATATATATATGTATATAGAGGCATATACATGCATGCATACACACACACACGTGCACATGCTTGCATAAGCGGTATGTATATAAACTAAGATGTCGAGCAGGATACACATACACCAACATACTCACACATGCTGTTTTATGAAGCTTGCATGATGTATGTACTCATGCATATATATGTACATACATACACATCATCAAAGTTGAATGCCTAAATTTGGGCTACTAGCGACTCGTGCTCTTGTACTGTCAGCCAGCCAATTACGGGTTTGCAGTGTCCCGAAGAAGCAAGGCAGTTCAGGTTGAAGGTTTCAAGGCTTCATGCATAGCTACCGAAAGCCCTTTATGAAAGCCTCTAGAAATGCATAGGACTATATTAACTGAGGCTGTATATATATATATATATATATGTATATAAGTATCACCGGTATTTCGAAAGATCCATGCAAAGGTACATGTAGCCCCCATGAACACCAGTTCATACAATCCTGTGCAAAGCCTGACCTGGTTTACATATTTATGGACTACCTCAGGAGAAAGCCAACTAAACCCTGGGACCAAAATTGTGTCTAGGCTGTCTGCTGCATAGCTATGCCCAGCATCCCCTTGAACACAACCGGAACAACATAACTGAAGATTACCAAGGAGCACTGCAGGTTCTTAAGTGGAGTTTTGGAAGTTTCAGCTGTGCATGGGGCTTGCCACGCAGTGCTTCTAGCTGGGGATTTCGGGCTGCACTTGTTTCGGTTTGGTATGCTTCAGCATAGGTATGTCACGGGGCTATTATGCGTATGGTATAGTATATATATATATATATATAGTCTATGTATGTACATATATATATATAGGGCTTTATATGGGTGCTTTGGTTCAGGTTTTTTTTGGGCTGCACTCCATGTTGCACCATCCGCCACATTCTCCAGCAGATGTTCCAGGATTGGGGTGGGCTCCGCAGCAGCCGCGCTTGTACCTCCGCACACGACCAAGTAAAGCTCACTTTCAAGACTGTATACGACACATGCAATCACCAGACTTCATCATGAGCTGCACTTTTCACTCAGGGACCGTCGATTAGTAATTTAGTCTCCTTGCAGAGTCAAGCCTGCACGCATGAATTTCAGTCACATGTGCAACGTGTTTAAAACACGTCGAGCGCACAGGGTCCATGAGATCTGTTTTTTCAGACCATGGGAGAGTAAACATTCAACGCGAATATTGAAATTCTCATGGGGATGTTTTCACACAGGAAAAGCAGGACATATACACATACAGCACAAGTCGTTATACCACTATTAGAGAAGCTCTCAAAGTAGCCTGTACATGTGGAAACATACATACATATATACGTACACATATTTACAGTGAACACAAGACCTTATAATAAACCTTCTATACATGTCCTCGCACCTGTGCCATCCCGCCTATATATAGATAAACCTTGTGCTTTGATTGGCTCTTGCCAGCTCACTCGACCTTAACCCGCTTCGAGGCGGAATCCTCATCCTTCTTCTTCTGCGTCTTCAAATACTGGAGCATCGGAGCGACCCCAGTGGTGAAGCTCAATGCCTCGACGCACCTCGCGGGGATAGTGGTTTCGATCTATATAACAGGGTTAGATGGATTCTTGTTTAGAGGCAGCGTGTGGCTTGTAGCAGGGGAGACTTTCATCCGAAGTGATTCAGCCTTCCTTACGTACAGTAGCACCGGACGAAGTACATAAAGAGCGGTCTTTGTCGAGTTCGACAGAAGTTCACCAATTACACCCTTAATTCCTAAATCTACTTTAAACAGCTTCGGTTGATGTTTGAATTGGTATTGCATCCTATATATGTAAATGCGAGTTTTAAGAAGGTTCCTGTTAGGACTTTCCCATGAAGGCAGCAAGACTACACACTGCTTGCAGACGCACAGGCCCTAGCTAAGAGCACCCCCACGACAAGTCGATACATAGTCAGAATCTGCACAGGCTTCCTGTACAGAGCACTAATTCCCTTAATACGTTAATGGTTGCCCCCTCCCCACAAATGAAATTAACGGAATGCCGTAGAAAGCACAGCCTACGAAAAAGGCTATATATGCGAAGTAGGGGCTTGAATTACATTGCTTATAGAGCCCGGGTCAGCCTAGTGACAGCTAGCACTTGTCCCCGAATCCTATATATATATATATACATCCAGAACTTATATGCATCTAATTATCTACATGAACCATTAATTATTAGATAGCTGCAAAACCCCATATGATATATATAAGTATATAAGTGGCATATTAAAGTTTCCGGGTTACCAATTATATAACTGTTTGTTTGATATATATTGCTACCGTTCACCGATTGACACAGGGCTCTTTCTTCAAGAGCTTGCCATCCTTATACAACTCAGAGCATAGAAGTTTGAGCATATACCTGTATATATGGATATATATATATATAAGTAAAGATCGTAGTAGGTAACTTTCTCGTAAAGGGCTTGCACGGGGCAGGATCTTAATTGGGTAGTTGCCTTATATTTCGCCACTATATAGGTGCTTGTTCGGTTTAGTTCGTTGTCGAAGTAAGAGCAGACAAAGCAGCTGAACTTTTCAGGAAGCCACATGGCGAAATCCACGTGTCGAAAGCTAACCAAGTTTCTCTCAGCAGCCTAGGCTGCTGAGCTGGCTAGCATCTGCACAAAAGCTATCATGCACACGTAATTAAGGGCTAGCAGCTATCCCTGCTTCGGTTGGACAAGAACACGCTGGACAACATAGCAGAAAAATGGCCCCGAACTCTGCTCGTCAATGCCCTCTCCACCCAAGCGGATATTGCGACAGCCTGGAGCATTAAAGAAAATCCGTATCAGCGCTGCTTCCAGGAGACAAATAACATCAGCGTTACAGTGCACATGCAGAACGGTCATCCTCTCCCAGTGGACGTGCCTATCCAGCTTGTACCCGTACCCAGTGTGCAGCCATCGACACACAGGGTTTCTGGTCACACCAATTTTGTACAAAGCCGGGTGTTTGGAAGAGATGCTCCTGATGCAAAGTTCAGAATGCGACAGTATGCTCGAAGCCAATTTGGAGCTGGCCAGGTCAAACACAATCGCTCCCTGCGCAAAGTTTGTTTTCTCCAGGTCAGCAACGACCTCATCTCGAAATCGGTCTAAGGATTTAATATCTCCAGATAGTTGCTGTAGCCAGTACCAGGGATCCCGGTTTCGGAGAAGTTTTCGCAGCCCAGGCTTTTCCACTACGACCGGCAGCTGCTGCACAGCTGGTACATGAGGCACCAGCGGCGATGGCTCCGACTGTTGGGAAACCTCTGCTTCTGTAGCTTGATGACGACATCCCGGGCCCAAGCAACCAGTTGGCTGACTTCCCCAATCTTTAAGCAGGGAGTCAGGATCCTCATCGCCATCCCACAGCAAGGAAGCCAAGCTTCGCAAACGCTTGCCCATGAAAGCCAACCAACAAACAGGATGCCTGCTGACGCGCGGCCATGCCCCAGCAGGCGACGCTGGGTTGAACTTAATTAAGCTTTTACTTCTAACAGTGCACATGTTATATATATATATATATGTATGGGTCGACAAGTTGTTACTACAGTTCCTCTTCCGAACCCTTAATTGGGAAGTAGAGGTGACGAGTACTATATAGATTCAGCAGCAACGTATATACCATATATATATATATATATATATATCTTCTTAGTTGCATACTAGATAAGGTGAGTATATATATATATACATATATATATAGACAAAGAAATGCCTCCATGGTTCGATGACTGCATGCCTTCATTTGTTTCTTCGAGATCCCTCTTAATTCTAGTTACAAGCTACCACAATTAAAGCCAGACAGTGCTAAAATATCTTTCTACCAGCTCTCCGAAATCTCCAGGATGCTTCCCGTTTTCCTTTAAGCCGAAACTTGTCGACATGGCAAGTTTTTTTTATACTGTATTACAATATAGGCCATGTCATGTCAAACTCATCCCATGTACAACGTACTAGCTGTATACCGGAACAAATCAACCCTGCAACCTTTCCTACCCAACCGCTGACAGGCAGCTGCTTCTTCCCCGTGTCGAAGATCTTCTTCAGCTCATCTTGCTGCCTTATAGCCGCTCACATTCGGGTTTTGACTGCATTAATTCGGGGTGGGCTTCAGCATTGCCTAGGCCAGGTTTGTATTTGCCAAACCCCGAGTAGAGGACCCACCCATATAACTATATAGAAGAGATCAATTAAGGGACTACATGGGTTTGTAGACATATATGTGTATGTAATCGTGTACTCACGGGCCATTACATGTTTGTAGCCTCAGTCAAGCTCGTTTGGGCTCGAAATTGAGTTCCCGTAATTAGAGTAGTCGGTACCACCTGGTCAGAAGGACAAGATGGATTTGCAAAGGATTGGATTTTAGTGTCAGGGGTTTATGTACAGGGTTTTGGGGTTAAGGGTTTGCGTGGGTTTCTTGCTAGGGGTTCTATATTAATGGGGTTTTTGGGAGGTTGCAAGGATTGAGGGTGGGGATGAACACATGAACTCCAAGCTTCAGGTTAGTTGGTTTTGACAATTAAAAGCTAAGCCCTATAAAGCGCCCTCTATATGTATAACTATGTGTATATATACATTCCACACCCCTGTAACCTATATATACATATATGTATATATATAGTTATATATATATATATATGTACCCTTATATATATATATATATAGATTTAAATTCACATTATCGAATCAATCCTTCACACACACACATCTTGTCTTAAGTCATATAAATCCCAGCTGACCTATGTATGTATATGTATATATATAAACCCATCTAGAAAGCTTAAAGGAATGCTTGAAGTGGGATTTTAATTGAGCTTGGGATGTTTATACTTTTGCATCTTATATAGGTGAACCCTGCTGAGCCACTAGCTAAGAAAAACGAAGGTCCGAGCCACAGTCTCAAAGTACAAGTACTGCAGTCCTGAAGCCCCATGCACCCCCCCCCCAATTTAGGCCCGGGTGGATAAGCCACTACCTACATTTTGAAACCCGAACCCAAAAACCCGAAGCTGAAGATAAGCACATATATATATATATAGATAGAAATATATACATACCACACACCCGATCGAAACCCTGAACCCCTATATAAGAAAGGCTCTTCTTGGCCATCCATGAGTTGGGCCATGGGGTCTTAGGACCACGTCAATGGCAGCCGCTCATCTGGTTAATTGAGTACACTAAAGACAATTTACGGGTGCATGGGGCCTTGATCAGTGTTTAAAGCCTGATTGAAAGTTTTCTTTGGTGTATAGGAGTTTAGTTGTGAACATTGGTTGATGATGCAGCTTCAGGATTTCTTGCTTGGCCAGACAAGCTCTAGCAGAGCTAGATGTTCACAAGCTTTATACTGCATGTAAAGGCCTTGTATGCTAGTGACCTCGTACCAAGCCTACTTGCAAGGCACATGGGGCACACACAGGATTAGTGCTAAACTTAGACTGAAGAAAGGGCCGCAAGCCCTGAGTGCACACAGATGTGTATACGCTAGCATATGTTTCTCCGTTTACATTTGAATAAGATTCTACATGCATGTATATACATATATATATATATATATATATGTATATGTGTGCATATTTATATCTGCATGCATATACACATATGTATATATATATATATATATATATATATATACAAACCCTATATATATATATATATAACCCATTTGAGATATATCCCATCACTATCTCTCGGTATGTATGTCTGTATGCATAGACACGAAAGTGCGCATGTATGTACATATATACATGCATGCATGTATATATATATATACATATATATATATATATATATATGTATACATACATATATATATGTGTGTGTACATGTACACTTGGACACGTGCATGTGCTATATACACCACTATTTCTTCACAGAGACACAGATCATGTATGTGTACATATACATACATAAAGACACAATTATGCATATCGGGCTATATATATATATATATATATATTTATATATATATATATATTTATATATGTATACTATATGTAGAGGGAGAGAGAGAGAGAGAGAGAGAGAGAGAGAGAGAGAGAGAGAGAGAGAGAGAGAGAGAGAGAGAGAGAGAGAGAGAGAGAGAGGAGAGAGAGAGAGAGAGAGAGAGAGAGAGAGAGAGAGAGAGAGAGAGAGAGAGAGAGAAAACCCAACGAGCGGACCACCTACGTATCACCCTCCTCGACTTGTTTCATTCAGACCGAGCAGCTCCAGGGTAAAGCCTTGATCTTGCAACACGCTTTTCCCTTGCATCTCCTGGATTGTATCCGAAGTTTTTTCAAGACCTTGCACAAGCTTCTTCGCCTTGTCCCGCAGCCTGAAGAGGGCAAACTGGACAAACATATAAATAAATAAATATAAATATATATATATATATATATATATATATATACGGTGGAAACTGCCACAAGGGAGACAAACAACACCCCTCAGTATTCTAGCCTACCAGCTAAAGACAGACCGAGTTTCCTCTCCGTTTTCTCGGACTTCTTGTACTGGTCCAAGGAGTCAACGACACCGTCCGTTCTCGTGGTCCACTTTGCAAGGCAGGCAACCACCTTGACGATGTAGGTCGAAGGGAGGCCATCCGCATCCATTTCCGGAAAGCTTATGGCCTTCATCCTCTTTCTAACATCAGCCTCGCGGTCAGCTCCAGCCACGTTTGCATCATTGCCTGAATCACACATTCATTTGTACAGTCGCATCAGTAAGAGTTGTAATACTAGCTTAATAATACTATATAGGAGAGAGAGAGAGAGAGAGAGAGAGAGAGAGAGAGAGAGAGAGAGAGAGAGAGTGTGTGTCAGAGACAGGGAGGGACAGGGAGACAAAGAGAGGAACGGAGAGACAAACATGTGTGTGTGTTTACTAAACACAGAGGTGTGTATACATATATATATATATATATATATATATGTATATATAGACTACGCATGTATACGTATCCGATTACATATATATATATATATATATATGCATATACATGTATATTAACTGTGATGCAGGGAGACTGAGAATTGTGGGGTGGATAGGTTCTGGATCCCACGAAGTTTATAAACTCATAGTACGGGGGGCCTTTGGGTCCTCCTTCGCCAAGGCCACCCCACGACATGCTGAAGACATCCATGTCGTTCTCCTCATCGCTGGCCTCGTAGTCAGCATCACTGTCACATTCCTCGTAGATCTCCCGCTTGCGCTTCCTTGTGCACCAATTAAGTGCATTTAAGTCAGTTCATGCACCCAATTTAATGAACCTAATTAAATAAAACACCTCAGGTTAATTCGGGATTTAGAACTTAATATAATGTGAAGGCAGGAATACATGGGATAAGAACAAGAACAAGCCTAGAGTCAGCACCTTTCCTTCCACGGATTTCTCCAACCAGTAGAGCTTCACGTCAGGCTCGTACCGGTCGCGCCTGCAGAATGTTTTATGCAACTGCAGACGAAAATTGGAAGCCAAACGAATATGAATATATATATACATATATACACCAGTATATATATATATATATGTACATATATATGTGATGGACAGACAAGCTATGCATACATATGCAGTGAGACACACATACACACATGCATGATTGTGAGTAAACATATTAAGAACCTGTCATATGTACATATATATGTATATACATGTGTATATATATATATATGTATATATGTGTGTGTGTGTCTGCACATGTGTGCGTGTCTCTATATACATATACTCATATACTCATATATATATATATATATACATATGCATGTAAATATACATATAAGGAGACATGCACATATATACATACATATGCATATATATAGCCTTCTATATAGAAGCAGACACATATATCCTATTCTGGGAACGACCCATGCAGAGCATACTAGCACCTATCCATAGCAGAACAGTTTTTTTAGCGAAGAATGCTTTCTCTTTCTGTCTCTCTCTCTCTCTCTCTCTCTCTCTCTCTCTCTCTCTCTCTCTCTCTCTCTCTTCCCCCTTGATTTACTCTCTTTGTCACTGTATAGTTCCTGTTATGCATATATATATATACAAATACAGGGCATTTACATTTGTCACTCTCTCCGCATGATTTCTCGTTGTATCGCCACTGCCTTTTCTACTCTCCTTCGATCTGTCTCTGCATGTAGCTTGCTCGCAGTCCCACCTGATCCATCCCCGCATCTTGGCACACTCGGCATGAACGGCTTTCCGCCGCTTCTCCGACAGGCCAAGTTCGACCATGTCGCTGTCGCTCACGAACTGGCCACTAACCCAAAGCTCCGACTCAGACTCCCTGCGCTTAATTCTCTTCACGGAGCGCTTGACGAAGAGGTCCTTTATTATAAAAAGCACGATAGAAATCTTAATTGGGATCGCATGATGTAGGGGAAGCCACACGCACGAAGACTAGCAGTGCCACTAGTGCCCTATATATATATATATATACACATATAGCTCAGCCCCGTCCTTGTCCAGACCAGCTTTCAGGAACTTTTTTTCGAGCTCGGCACGCTGTTTCAGGTCCTTATACTGCTCCACCAGCTCCTTCGGAACCAAAAATGTTCCGTCCGCCCGTGGCGCGAACATCCGGGCCATGCGCTTCTTCACCGAGCTCAACTTGACCTCGCCCAGGAATGCATCCATGCACGCTGCCACCGTGTCAGACATGTCCTCTTGCTTGACCTGCAGGCTGTCAGGTCCCCACCATATTGAACAAAGTATGTTGTATAGGACTTCGATCTGGAATTACATGTAGAAATAGACACACATATAGACACAAGATAAACAAATATAAAACCAGGGACTGGCACTCTGGACCGCACAGGGCTGCGCGACTTCTCATTGCGATCACCTGCTGCTGATCTTGACTTCTCCGGGCTAGGCGACTTCTGCCTCTGCTTGCGATCACCTGATGCTGCTCTTGACTTCTCCGGGCTAGCCGACTTCTGCCTCTGCTTGCGATCACCTGCTGCTGCTCTTGACTTCTCCGGGCTAGCCGACTTCTGCCTCTGCTTGGGATCACCTGCTGTTGGTTTGGACTTCTCCGGGCTAGCCGACTTCTGCCTCTGCTTGGGATCACCTGCTGTTGGTTTGGACTTCTCCGGGCTAGGCGACTTCTGCCTCTGCTTGGGATCACCTGCTGTTGGTTTGGACTTCTCTGGGCTAGGCGACATCTGTCTCTGCTTGGGATCAGCTGCTGTTGGTTTGGACTTCTCCAGGCTAGGCGACTTCTTTCTCTGGTTGCAAACAGCTGCTGTTGCTTTGGGCTTCTCCAGGCTAGGCGACTTCGGTGGTGCTTGCTTGTGATCACCCACTGCTGGTCTTGACTTCTCCGGGCTCCGACCCCGTGCCGGTCTTGACTTCACGGGGCTCTGTGTCTCCTCGGCTCGGTTCGTCTTCTTCACGACCGACTCTGCCTCGGACTCTTCCACATCGAAGTTCCCAGGCACAGTCGTAGCTGTGCTCGATCGACGCACCTCAGGCAATGCTTGCATGCATATATATATATATACATGCATGTATATACATGCACACACCTATATATATATATATATATATATATATATATATATATATAATTACAAGTCGATATGAAGAAGCATATATACACATATATACATACATACATACAAATATATAAATATAAATATATATATGTATATATACTATATACATCCAATCCACCCATCGGTCCATATCACACACATGCACATATATATATATATATATATATATATATATATATATATATATATATATATATATATTCAGATTTATATATAACTATATATATGTACATATAAGTACATACACGTATATGTGTTCACGTTTTAATGCATGTTTATATAGACATATAAATATATACATATATATATATGTATATTAATTCCTTTTAGTCTCTATATACATGTTGACGTATATCTGTGTGAAGACATGCACATACTCATAATATACGTGTATATATATATATATATATACACACACACACGTATGTGTGCACATGTGTGCGCATGCGCAAGTGTATTCCTTTGCAAAAAAGTACATATTTGCACATAGATCTTGACAGTATATGTATATATATATATATATATATATATATATATATATATTCATATTCAGCGTATATATATATATATATATGTATATATATATATTTACATATGTACAGACACACATTATACGTGACTCGCATAGATGACACACACACACATATGTATATATATATATATATACATTTATATTAATGGATATATATATATATATATATATGTATACACATATACATGTCTGTGTGTACGTATATCAAAATATACACACGTATATCTCCATGTGTCTGCACGTATATGATTACATATATATATATATATATATATATATATATTCATGTATTTATATATATATATATATATGTATATATATATATACATATATATATATATACATACTAAATATTAGCACTATACATTAATTAACACATACATGGGCACTTGTGCTTCGCCAGCTGGCGGGGTTCGGATTGCCGTGCAGCGCGCAGGTGTGGGAATGGGAACTGAAGCTGCTGGGTCCTTGGACTGCTCTTTGCGGGATGCCTGGCTGGATGCTGGGCTGGCATTGGAGTCAGGGCTACGTGGTCTGGCTGGGGCTTTCGGAGGATCTGGGAAGGAAGTCACAGGTTGGGCCATCTGCTTCTTTCCGAGCATGCTCTTCTGCAGCTCCTGAAGCATAACATAGGATATGTTTCTGAATTCAAGGGTTAAATTCTATAAGCTTCGTAGATAGGGAATGGATATATAATTGTGCCTCTATATACAGACACATTTTTTTTAGGCTCTTGTTTCCTGATGACTAATATCTGCTAGTCAGCATATATGCAGGTGTGTTTCCGAGGACTACATAAAAACATCAGAACAGGTATATATGTACGTTATTCGGGGAGGGCAAATTTCGAATCTGTTCCTTCAGGTTCAAACTTACCCCATGCATGCATGCATGCATATCAACGTGAACTGTCTAGACACCATCAGAAACCTGGGCCGGCGTCTCCTCGAGCCTCCGAAGCTCTGCTAGCATGCTTGTCTTGTCGGATGCAGAAAGCTTTCTCCACGGAGCTTCTCGAAGCGTAGTCTCACCATCGTCAAGGGTCTCCGTACTGAAGACGTTAGAGCGAAGCTGCCGGTGCGTCATGTTCGCAAGCCAGGGCACCACCCTAATCTGTGCAGCGAGGCAAGCAGCTACTTGCAAGCGAGCCAGCTCCAAGGATTTCTTTGCAGTCACAGCACAGCAAGCAAGCACAGGAGCATGCAGGTAGGCAACCCTTGCAGATGCTGGTGCATCGCTGCTCTATATGTGTTTATAACAGCACAGTTTAGCTATGCATGGACCAATTAACGGAATGTAAATCCTTTGACAGCACGACTGCATGCATACATAGGAAGTTGTAGATTTACATTTCTCCTAGCTTACATGGGACCCCATCCGCAACTCTTCGATCACCCAGACACACATTCATTAGTAGACATTTTAAAACAACTTTGCTACCCCAAGCTTCTAGACTGACTGACACAGCTCTCAATCCCGTCCCTCACGGTCCCTGCGTTTCCCAGGCTGGGTCGATCCAGAGACCAAGTGCAGATCAGGAGCCCAGCGAAAGTGAATTAGCTGTTCGGAGAGTAGCCCTTTCACGTAATATGCGAACACATGGCAGAATTAAGGTTTCTGTGGATGTAGACATGCATATATATATAGACATATATATATATATATATATATAGATAGATACACATGTATATATATATATACATACTTACATTAACTTGATTGAAAGGGCACATAATACATTATATATGTATATCTATATACCTATATACACACATATATATATATATATATGTGTGTGTGTTGTCCATTATACATGTATAAGGACACGCATGTGTATATATACATATATATATATGGTATATATATATATATATATATATAGGTATATCTATATATATATATATATATATATATATATAATTTCCTATATAAATTCACAGAATCATGTCTATATATATACACATATATACATATATATATATATATATATATATATATGTACATGACTGGGAAGGGAGGGGATATGAAGAACGTAATTCTTCATATCTGGGCCTGTGGTGGGTCGAAAGGCAGGACGAGGCTGGGAAAGGGGGAATATGAAGAATGTAATTCTTCATATTGTGAACGGTGGCGGGTCCAAAGCAAGGAGGAATCCGACCAGGAGGCTGGGAACAGGTGGGGGGGGTATGAAGAATGTAATTCTTCATATTTAGCTTGGTTGTGGGTCGAAAGGCAGGAGGAGGGCTGGAAGGGGGGGGGGGGGTAGTATGAAGAATGTAATTCTTCATATTGGCTTGGTGCTGGGTGTGGGAATTAAAGGGGGACTGGGTTGAATTCAAGGCCGATCGATAGAGACTGGGAAGGGAGGGGATATGAAGAACGCAATTCTTCATATTTGGGCCTGTGGTGGGTCGAAAGGCAGGAGGAGGCTGGGAAAGGGGTATATGAAGAATATAATTCTTCATATTCCGGACGGTGGCGGGTCCAAAGGAAGGAGGAAGCCGAGAACGCCCGGGGAAGGGGGATATGACGAATGTGGTTCTTCATTTTTGGCATGGTTGGGTCGAAAGGCAGGAGGAGGCTGGGAACGGGGGGGTGGGTATGAAGAATGTGATTCTTCATATTATGCGTGGTTGTGGGTCGAAAGGCAGGAGGAGGCTGGAAACGGATCCGGGGGGAATATGAAGAATGGGATTCTTCATATTCACACCCCCTTTGTCACAGTAAGCAGGAGGCGGGGCCGATCGAGGGGGCGGGCTGGAGGCACGCATGCAGCCAGGTTGGGAGGGGTGCAGGGTGGAGGGACTTGAATAATGCAATTCTTCGAAAGGCTAGGTGCTACAGCGGTGGGGTTGGGCTCCCGGGGGTGGGTCGGTCCCAGGACAGCCAGACCCATGCACGGTCCCCCGGGGAGGGGGGAGGGAGGGAGGAAGATATGAAAAATGGCATTCTTCATATTGATTTGGTGCTGGTCGGTGCCAGCAACCAACTTTACCAGGACTCGGTCGGCGGTACGAATATTATTCAGAATGGTGGCACACCGACACAGAGGATATGAATAACTTGATTCTTCATATCACCTGTGCTTGAGTATTGTTGACTGCATGCACGAAGCATATTGGAGCTACTTTTCTGCGTTCTGTGTGTGTGGCACAGAACCAGCATAATATGACAAATCCTGGCCCTGACCATGTGCACGCGTTAAATGGGCCGAAGGCCCCACAGGGACACGTTAAATCCGGCTCCCGGCCATTCCCGCCCGTCGCCCGGGCCTTCCCGCCCGCTGCCCGGCCATTTCCGCCCGCGGTTTTGGAGGGTTCACGCAAAATGCCATTGTTCATATATAATTCTTCATATTCTCTTTCTCTGTACTATATATATACATACATACATACATATATATATATATATACATACATACATATACATATATATATATATATATACATATATATATATATATATATATATAATATATATACTATTATATATCGATATGATATATGTAGTATTATATATATATATATGTATGAACATATATATATATATATATATATATATACACATATATATACATACATACACACATATATAAAGTAGAAAGCAGCATCGGTATATATATATATATATATATATATATGTATATGTATATATATATACATATGTGCGTGTGTCTGTGTCCAGATGTGTGTATATATATATATACCTCTATATGTATATATGTATATACACGTCTGCGTGATAATATATATATATATATATGTGTGTTAATTAATATATGTTGATACATATTAACATATATATGTATATACAGACTGAATTAGTATATGTATAGATATGTATATATATATATATGTGTATGTATATGGTTTATATATATATATATATAGGAAAAAGTAATCGTGTATATATATACATATATGTATACGTACACACATGTGTATAGACATCTGTATGTAGCCACATGTACAACTTACATGCATATACGCTGATCGATACATATGTACATGCAGGACCTAGAGAGGGGACATGTGCAACAAGCAGACCACAAGACAACATGCCATGCATGGTCTAA